TACTATGTTTTACTATAAATTTTTAGCAAAATATCAATCCGGATATATTTATATCCGGATTGAAGTACTAACTCTAGGCTTGACAACACTAATCTATGATGATCTAAAAATTTAAGCTAATAATTAGCATTAGATTGGTCAATACATATAATGATACGTATATATATATATATATATATATATATATATATGTATATACAATAACTATATTGACCGTGTAAATTATTAATGATCCGGTTTGTAACTTGTAACAAGTTTTATGGCGGATACAATTTCTAATACGTACAGTATGTCACCCCTTTTTATAGTCACCTAAATTTTCAATTTTCGAAAAATGATTATATTGAGATCAAACTATATTTAAAATTTTTTTCAATGTTGGCAATAATCTCAAATAATCTTTGAAATGACCTACGTACTTGCGTACGTGAGCATTCCCAATAAAAGTTTCGTATACTAAAATAACCTAGATCATTTGAAAAAATGGCAACTAATCACAAAAATTTACCATCTCTGGTTACAGTATACATACTCTTGCATTATGACAATTACAATTTTGAAAAGTATCGGTAAAATTGTTATATAAATATATATATCAAAAACATAACCAAAATTTGGTAAGTGCTGTATTTATAATAATATGACAACATCAATGTCAATGATAATAACAGCAATGATCATGTAATCACTACTTGAGCTTAGCTAACTCGGTAATAGTAACATCTCTATACAGTAAAAAAAGCAGTGGTATACATCGATTTACAGTTAACCAAGGATTTGTTTTAGATGGAATTAATTTTTGTGTAGCCATTCATTCTACACTTTGCTCGGACAATAAACATAATAGCTTAATTTGTAGAACAAACAATTCATTGGTTGATAAAGACAATTACAGAATCACAGTACATGTGATATTTGTTTTTTAGCCAAAAACGCGTACACCGAAACTCCGATTTTTTTTTGCAAAACTTTAAGAAAGTGTTTAATTTTAAAAAGACCTATTCAAAAATAAAAATCACAAAAAGTCTTGATAATGCCGGCCGGAAAAAGGGTTCGACGAACAGTTTTCTCTGATAGTGAAACTGAGGAGGCTGAGATCGCCGAAGAAGAACCGGTAATTTAAAATTATTCCCTTTTTATTTGTATTATGCTGAAACAAGTTCATTATCTTTGGTGGAATATATTTAAATTAGCTACTTAATGATGCTTGAAAACATGTTGATTACTTCTCGAAATATATAGAGACAAACTAGATCTAGTTCAAAGAGGGCACGTCGATCTGCAACTGAAGAAATTAATGGTTTTCCAGACGAAATGTCTTTTGATGAAGATAACTATTTTGATGACGATGATTTTGGCAGAGAATCAGCGGAAGAATTGGAAAGAACGAAATTAAGGAGGAAAAGTTCAACTGGGGTATGATTTTTTTACAAAATTTATATATTATTATTCATAAGATCTTATTATATTTTGACTGATATTTTATTTTTAAAATTATTAATTAAGGTAACAGCGGAGTCTAGTGTCATCGAATCAATAGAATTATTGGATTTTATGTGTCATAAATTTCTTAAAGTTAATTTCGGTCCAAAAATAAATTTCATTATTGGGCATAATGGAAGTAGGTATATGCATGCGATATTTTTACGTTCAATATATTAATATAATTGATAGATTAATTTCTCTCTGGAATATATTCTATTTTTTTTTTTAGGTGGTAAAAGCGCCATTTTAACGGGAATCACGGTTTGTCTCGGAGGTAAGGCTAATGTGACGAATCGTGCGTCAAACTTAAAATCTCTGATTCGTGAAGGCGCAAGGTATTTAAATAGATTAATTCTCTATTAAAACTTTTGTCAAATGAATGATGTATAGACAATTAATAAACTAATTTTAAAAAGTGTTGCACAAGTAACTTTGAAATTACGGAATCGAGGTGCTGATGCGTACCGTCATGAAGTTTATGGCGATTCCATTATTATTGAGCGTAGGATTAGTCGAGACGGTAGTAATGGTTATAAAATCAAGACTAGTGGTGGGAAGGTGGTTTCTGGAAAACGAGAAGAATTAAACGCTATTTTAGATCATATGGCAATTCAAGTGGACAATCCTATGAATGTTTTATCACAAGATACTGCACGTCAATTTTTACACTCTTCAAGTCCAGAAGATAAGTATAAGGTAATTTTACATGCTCAATGTACATATAAATTTTGTTTAATCTAATTTATTTATTTTAAATTTTGTATCTTGTTAATTTTTTTGTAGTTTTTCATGAAAGGAACTCAATTAACACAACTGAGTGAAGATTATGAATTAATACGTGAAAGTATCGAAACGACACAAAATATTATAAAACATAAAAAAGAAGTACTGCCAGATCTACTTAGGGCAGCTAAAGATGCAGAGGCAAGATATAAAGATATGCAAAAAGCCCGTGAACTTGAGTTAACAGTTGCTGGCCTGAAGGATCAAATGGCCTGGGCTCAAGTTGAAGAAAAAGAACAGGTTTGTTTTAAGCTTATATATATTCATAGAAACACGCAAATTCAAATATTAAGTACTAATAATTTAACAGGAAGTTGCAGAAGCAGAAGCAAACTTGCTAAAAGCTAGAAGACGACTACCAACCGTTCAAGCGCGTCTAGACCAAGAACAAGTTAATATATTTTTTTTTAAATGGCATAACACAATTATATGATATTTACTATAATTTATTCCATTACACACAAAATATAACAGGCAAAATTTGATGAAATCAACTTGGTTATTTCGGAATTAGAACAGAGGCTTCATGAACACGCTACTATTACTCAACCTTTGCAAAACAGGAAAAAAGAATTACAGATGCAAGTGAAAGAGAAAGCGAAGCAATTACGCGAGATTCATGTAAGCTTTTAATAATTTTTTAATATCAAAGTTAATTAATAGATTAAATAAGAATTTTTTTTTATATAGAAAGAGGAAAGAGAAATAAATGACTTTATTAAAAATTTGAAACACTCAGTCGAAACATATCGA